TTCTATGATTCTATGATTCTATGATACCACTACGTTCCCTGATAAAGAGTCTCTCCCCATCTATCCTGTAGTCCCCCCTTAAGTACTGTGAGGCTGCTGTAGGGTGTCCCCAGAGCCTTCTCTTCTCTAGGTTAAACAACCCTAACTCTCTCAGTCTATCCTTGTATGGGAGGTGCTCCAGACCTCTGATCATCTTTGTGGCTCTCCTCCGGGCTTGCTCTGGACTTGCTTTAACAGGTCCATGTTCTTCCTGTGCTGAGGACTCCAGAGCTGGACGCAGTACTCCAGGTGGGGTCTCACAAGAGTGGAGTAGAGGGGAGAATCACCTCTCTTGACCTGCTGGTCATACTCCTTTTGATGCAGCTCAGGATACGGTTGACTTTCTGGGCTGCAAGTACACTCTGCCAGGTCATGTTCAGGTTCTCGTCAAGAAACACAGACAAGTCCTTCTCTTCAGGGCTGCTCTGAAACTATTCTCCTAGCCTGTATTTGTGCTTGGGGTTGCCCTGATCCAGGTGCAGGACCTTGCACTTGGCCTTGTTGAATTTCATGAGGTTTGCACAGGCCCACCTCTCCAGCCTGTCCAGGTCCCTCTGGAAGGCATCCCTTCCCTCCAGCATGTCAACTGCGCCACCCAGCTTGATGTTGTCAGCAAACTTGCTGTGGGTGCACTCAGTCCCGCTGTCCACGTCACCAACAAAAACTTCAAACAGTGCTGGTCCCAATACCGACCCCTGCAGAACACCACTCATCACCCATCTCCACTTGGACATTGAGCTGTTGTCTGCAACACTTTGTGAACATCCAGCCAATTCCTTATCCACCAAGTGGTCCATCCATCAAATCCATGTCTTTCTGATTTAGAGACAAGAATGTCATGCGGGATAGTGTCAAATACTTTGCGCAAGTCCAGGCAGTTGCTCTTCACTTATCCACCGATGCTGTAACTCTGTTGTAGAAGGCCTCTCTTATCTGCCAATGCTGTAACCCCATTGTAGAAGGCCACCAAATTTGTCAGGCACAATTTGCCCTTAGTGAAGCCATGCTGGCTGTCACCAATCACCTCCTTATTTTCCATGTGCCTTAGCATAGTTTCCAGGAGGATTTGCTCCATGATCTTTCCAGGCACAGAGGTGAGACTGACTGGCCTCTAGTTCCCCAGGTCTTCCTTTTTTCCCTTTTTAAAAATGGAAGTTATGTTTCCTCTTTTCCAGTCAGTAGGAACTGCACCTGACTGACACGACTTCCCAAATATGATGGATAGTGGTTTAGCAACTTCATCTACCAGTTCCGTCAGGACTTGCGGATGCATCTCATCAGGTCCCATGGACTTGTGCACCTTCAGGTTCCTTAGACGAACTTTATTAATTCAATTTTATAGTTTCTATTTTATGTTATTAATATTTAGTTTTACTTGATCCTTTAAGTTGTATTAAAATTAAACTAAAATTAAAAATTAAAAAGCACAGACTCTGCTTTTGAATGGGTGACAATCCCAGAAAGCTCTGCAAAGTGCGTAGGGATCTGAGTCAACAAACTGCTGAATGTGACAATCTACTGTATGGTTATGACACGACAGGTTAATGTGATGAGAAGCAGCAAGTAAGTTAACTTTATTAGCAGAATGCATGTGAGCAGTCCTGCATTACTGTGTATGCTTTTCTGTGCACACTTCAAGGAGCTGGAAAATTTGAGATGTCTTTTACAAAGAGACACAAATTTATTAAGGGAGCTGTAAAAATGCTATACAGTAAGAAACTTAAAGATCTCAGTCTGATTAGTTTGTCAAGAAGAAAAGCAAGTGTATGGATAACTTTCCTGAAATGTAATGGCAGGTATTAAAAGGTCTTTAATCTTGCTGAGAACAGCAAAGCAAAGTCACCAGCAGCTCTAAGTTGCTGTCAGACCAATTCAAATTATAAAGCAGAAATGCCTTTTTATGTGATGATGGTTTAATATTGGAAAAGGATTCCAAAAGATTTGGTTCTTTCTCAGCCACACATCATGACTAGATGCATTTTTTCTGGGAAGCTGTGCTTTAGCCAAGCATACATTATGCTTAAGAAAAACACAGATGACTTGCCTTCATATGGAGATAACTGTGTGAAATATAATAGTTGATGATGTACAGGTGGTCTGATTAAAATTGGAAGGTCTGATTTAAGGCTATTGTGGCCTTAAACTCAGTGATTTTCCTGTATGCTGAGCTGACTTGGCTTAAGACTGCTAGAACAAGTTGTAGTGGCATTCAGAAGCCTGACTAGATGTGTTTCCACAGGAAACGAGGTGATTGCAGTAGACTGGAAAGGACTGAAAGATGTGGACCAAATCAATATGGACAGCACCAGTTCACTGCATGGCAGCAGCTTCCACCGACCTTCCACAGAGGTAAGTGCCTGTTCCAGACCCACTTACCCTGGGGGATAAGAAACTTTCAGTTCCTTCTGAGTTCAGAAATGGGTGTTGTGCATCACTGGGACATCATCTGGGAGAGGACCAGAGTGCCAGTGTGCACCCAAGGATCAGACTTTCATATCTGTGCAGTTTGGCTTGCATTGAATACATTGAGTCATTTCCTTCAGAATATCCATAGTGAGTAAGAATTTGCAAGTGAAACTGCTTTTAACCACTCATGACTGGAGTGTAACAGAACATGGAAAAAAATATGGCAGTTCTGACAAGCCTATAGGTCTGTGTTCCTTGAATAATGGATTCATTGAAATGTCCAACCCTACATCTGTCCTAGCTTCTGCAGCACAGACATAAAATCTTTTGAAGAAACACATTTGTCTCCATTTTTATTTTTAGGGATGAATTTTCTAGTAACTCACTGTCAGTTCATTTACCATGCAGTATTTCAAGAGCTGGTTCATTTGCTGTTCTGAATTATTGCAGCTTCTGCAATCTTAGATACCTGAATTTTCAGCTCTGTAAGGTTCAGGGTATGCAGTCATGATTAATAAAAAGGTCAAAGCCATTTTAAACATGTAATATTTGAGAAATCACAAATAACATGCAACTTGCAAAACCTTCCAAAGTGCAAATGTATAGATATTTTTATTTCCTTATTATAACTTTCTGCCTTGGAATGCAACTCCAAGAAACTTTGAGTTTCACAGAATCCTGGTAGAAATTGTGGGGCCCAACCTTGTATGGAAAATTCATTTAAATCAAATGCAAATCTAAAAGTAAATGGGCATAAACTATACCTCATTGAACATTTTGTTTTATGTGAATGGAAACCATAGGTGTAATTGATTAATCTAAATTTTCCTGAGTGTCCACATCCCAAACCCAAGATGTTGAAATGTGAGTCCTCCCCGCTGAAGGAAATGCACTATGAATTGCTACTGCAGCAGCTGATTGGGAATGGATCTGGTTTGCAAGGGGAAAGTGGGTCAGAATGGACAAAGTGAAAGGCTACAAGAGAAAATAGTTTCAGCAGAGAATTCTGTAACTTGCTGTTTTATACTCAAAATGCACAGGTAGTGTAGCTCCTCCTTGTGTTAGCTTCAAAGCAATGAGACTCCCACACAGGGACGCCAGCATTGCAACATTTAGCAAAGAAGAGCTATCAGAAGGGGAGCCTTATGAAGAGGTGTTTGCTTCTCTCTCTCTTACTTTCTATTTCATCCTATTCACTACTGTACCTTCAAACACTGTGATGCTTACAGACACCATAATCAACAGCAAGGAATGAAACCAGCTGGAAAGACACAAGTTTTTTTAACACGTCAGATAAAGTAGTGTCTGTTGATTATGGCAAACTACTAGAGGGATGCATGTCTGTTTGCAACTTGTTTGTTACACTAACATGATGTCCTTCTTTGCTTTCTTTAGCAAACACGGACAGATTTCTCCTGGGATGGTATCAATGTGAGTATGTGCCACACCACTGTTCAAATTTCTAGTCATAGAAAGACCAGGATTTGTCTACTATTGGATATGGGGGAGACCAGAACGGAAACAAGCCTGAAAGTCTTTAGTGCCACAGAAATTCTGTGAATTGTCTAAGATTCACAGGATGGCGATGAAGTTTTGTTTGCCTCTGGATCTTTTGCTGTCTAGCAGGTATTTAGATCTGCAGGTAGCTATTAAATTGCCTTTCTCCTCTTTGGGACAAGTCTGTGTCATGTCATGTTCTATTTTTTAGATTTCTGAGCAAAGCTAGATAAAAAAGGTCTACCAGCACGTTTAAAAAGTCAGATCACTTGATCTTCTCCAGGAGTCTGAGAGAAAATGTATGCTCATTTTCAGTTGCATACAAAAGTAGAAGAATTCTTAATGTCCCTTGAGGGAGATGGTCAGCATCAGTTAACTTCAGTTAACAAGTGGAAGAAGAAACAAGCAAACATTTTAATAACACACGTTCCTTCTTGCTCTTAATACCTATGCCATGAAAAAATATGTTTTTATTTTTGTCTTTTTCACTAATGCAAAAACAGCATCCTGAAAAGGGAATAATGCATGTTAGTGTTACCAAACTATTTTTTCTGCTCTGGAGGCTTAAAAAATGTGTTCGCATAAATTAGCTTTTATAGTTTTGTACACCTGGAAAGGCAAGATCAGAAGCTGCATTTTTGGTAGTATAAGCATTCTCAAATTCCAGATACATTCAAAACTTTTAAATTGTGGTCATTTTCTGCTTCTTTGTGGTTTGAAAGCACTTGGGCCACTTGAGTATCAAGGGGGCATCTTTTTAACTAACCCTCACCCTACTGACATCTCTCATTGTGGTACTTATGGCTTGGGATCTTTTGCCTAGGCTCAGGTAGAGAAACAAATTGTGTAGGAAAATTATGGTGCATGCAGCAACTGTCCAGGAGAAATTTGTCAGGTTTTTCCTCACTGCACTTGTCTGGCCGAAAGCAAGGTACACAAAGTCATGTCTCCTTAAATATAGAAGACAGTTCCCTTACTTTCAGTTTCCCATTTTCCATCACATTCTGAATCTGTGGAGCTGTTTCATAATGCAGCTCTTTCTCAGTGTATTTCTTCTTTTGTGTCAAAGCTGGCTCATGGATTCCCTTCCCATTCATTCCTTCCTTCATATCATAGTCTCCAACCTCATAGCGGTAGAGATCTTCTGCAATTTACTGTTTTCTGGACTGTTTCCATGAGGTGGATCACAGCATAGCCCCAGGCTGTCTTGAAACCAACAGGTGGATACTGAAGAGCAGCACCCAGACAAGAATGACCAGTGGGGCATAGATGGACATTCTTCAACCAGCTTCATCACCAAAGGAAATGCATCATGGAACAAGGGCTGTGCTCTGAGCTACACCTTTCACTTTTTACTGTTCTTCCTTGGCTTTCTGATTTCTTCAGTTCACATGTTACACACAGACATTCCTGGCTCCAAAGTTACAGGATGCCTTAGTTGCTGCTCAGTTTCCAGAGAAACTCATCTCTCATATTTTGGCAGTTGATTAGGATTATATGCAGTTCAGCATCTTTACAATACCTTCATTTGCCTCCAACTATTTGACTGTCTAGTTATTGCTCTTCTCACATTTCATGAGATTTGTGCCTGTGACCAAATGCTTGCTTCATGAAAGGATTTAAAATTTCCAGTGTCATGGTCACTACTTCTGAGTATTTTTGTGTTTGAAACACGCTAGACCTGATTTTCAGAGAGGTTGCAATGAAGAGCAGAAGCAAAGCTTGTTTAGCCCTTGTGAAAATTAAGCCTAATATGCAATGCCCGGCATCTCTGAAGAAGCCTGATGAATTCATCTTGAGGGATTGCGTTTTATGATGTTTGTGACTGCTGCCTGTCCCAAAAGTTTCCTGTCCTTGTTATTCAGGGACTGTGTAGGAACATGCATAGAGAAGAGAATAAAAGGAATTAAGCAGAACTGTAGATCTAATTTATTTACAGTTGTAGGTGCTTGAAACAGCATGCATCACTGATACAGTCATGTTCATTTTATTAAGACCATATGAGAAGAAATGAAAACCAAAGGCAACATATAAAAATTAATATCTGTAGTATGGTGCATATATGATGCATTGCTGTGTCTTGCTATCACATTTTCAGCTCCCCATTGTAAGCTCCCTGAATAGTCCATCAGTCATATCCTGCATCTCCAACAAAGAGTTGGGAACAGTGCAGCATGTCTATGAAGGACTGGCAGCAGCCAAAGGGAGGCTTCTCACAGACACCTTCTGCCTTTCCCACTGACCTTGACTCAGTCACAACACTATGCAATATCCAGCCTCTCATCTTTCCTTCCCTTCTTTTCATCTTTTTTCCTGTTGCTTTCTTCTGCTCCTCATCTTCCTCTTACCTTCTGGAATCTTCAAACTGATTTCTTGCTTCAATTCACTTCCTTTTCTCCTTCCTGTATATAACTTTTCTTCATATTCTCTCTCTTTTCAGCTCTCCATGGAAGATACGACCTCCATCCTTCCCAAGCTGAAACGCAACTCCAACGCTTATGGGATTGGGGCTTTGGCTAAATCATCTTTCTCTGGTGAGGTCCTCAAAATTTGGGTTTATCTTTGGCAGCTTCTCTCCACAGGCCTTTGTGCCTCTTCCCATATTTCTTTGTTGCTCTCCCAACTTTTCCTGTCTAACTTGTCTTTTTGAGTCTCCGCCTCCATGGTTCTAAATACAGAAATATCTTAATTGCTGCCCTTTCAAAGAACAGACCTGTCTTATTCCT